TTGCTGTTAAACTGCTCATCCGTGTAATACTTGCAGTTATTTTCAAAGTTCTTGAAAAAGTTTTTTTCAGGGTCAAAGCCATCGTCCGGTTCATGATAATGAATTTCAGTGTCTCCAATTGTGTTCAGTTCCAGATCCAGTCCCTCAAAAACTATTAACTTCTGTAACAAATCACTTGCAAACTCGTTTTTATCTCCTGCATTTCTTTGGTCATGTCGTCGAGTCTCTTGTTATTTGTCTCCATAATTAGTTTCACAAAGCCTTGGAAGCTTTCTTGCTGTTGGCACATAAGCGCGGTGTACATCAGCTTCTGCTGATTCAACATCTCAGCTACTTGCGCCGCTGAAATAGAATCTTCTTCAGCCTCAACATCCTCGCTCGCTTCGGATTTATTAGCTCTTTTGTTCTAAGTAAAATTTAAAGTAAAATGAATTTGCTACAGAATATGTTTATGTGCATGTCAAGTCAGTTGCTTACTTGTTTTATTGTATTTTACTTCATTAGGATGTTGTCTTTTCCAAGGGCTAGATGAAAACAGACCTGACACATTTCAAATTACAGAAACAGTTCAACCTGACTGGCTGTCTGTGGAGCACCTACCTGTTTGGAAGTTGTAATCTTAATGCCCCACATTATTTGCATAAAAAAAGGAGGAGGCAGGCGGTGGGAATGTTTCCTGTTTGCCTCAGAACAGGTTTGACTTGTGGTGAGAAGCAGTTCCAAAGAAAAGGTAAGTGTGGGAGTACAATAGAGGTTTATTAACTGTACGTGTATTTTTCAGACAAAAGTGTACAGAAAACTTTGGAACTAGTATGTATTTGTCAGTTAAGAAGACATACCTGAAATACTTTCAGATCAGTAAGTTTGACCTTTGTACTAGCTTACAGCCGTCAAGTTACACCCGGATGGGTTGTAAACAGGCCTTCATGCCTGTTCAGTCAGGAGGCTACATGTAAATGCTTTTCTTCAGTAATGGAAGAGTTATGGCTTTGTTGTTAAAAATGTCCATTGAATATCTTAGTTGAAACTACACTGCCACTTGTGCTCATGTAAGGTGTTGTGCTGTTTCTTTAAGGCATCATTCTTTGTTACATTCCTTTAACATAGTTTTCATTTTCACTTCACCAGAGACAACAGACACTTTAATTCTGAGCCAAAATGGACTCTTTCAAAGGTATGAAACAAAACCTCATCCAGCTCACAGCACCCATAAATGTCTAAAGTACTAACTTGTTTTTCTTTTGGCTCTCATTGTCAGGCCCTTGCCCTCATCACAGTGTTCCTGTTGAGGTAGATGAGAGCATGACATCCTCCACTCTGGACTTGGCTTGGCCTTCCTCTTGCAAACAGTGTAGTGAACATACAGACACCAACCAAAGGCCACAGGGCCATGACTATGAACCACCTGGGGAGGCAATACATGGTGTTGGCCAGTGGAGACCCCCTGAGAGCCAGTACCAGCATGAGTCCAGAGCTGCCTGTCATGCTGCTCCAGAACATCATTTTATACCCTCAGCACACTCAGGACAGATGAACCCCCCCCACCCTGCAGGTGTTTGGTGTCATGGCTTCAGAGATCAGGCAGCACTGTATGAACTGGACTTCATGGCTAATCACAGCAGAAGCTTTGCAGGCCCTTCATACTGGTCCCAGGACAGCCCTGTGAGAGAAACAGAATGCTTGGAGCTCCCACTCCCACTCCAGTCTGACATTAGCTACACCTACTATGCCCCATCACAATACCCAGCAGCCGGTATACCTGCTCAGTGTAAGTGTTTGATTTGATTGTGTAAGTGTCTAATTCTGCTGATAAACTATTCCAAGAGAAGGACAAACAATAGGAGTAATTCTGACATTTGTGATAGATTACATTTAACAGTTACTGTTAGGCATCACTGTGCTGCATGGCATCATTAGTGTTTAGCTGGAAACTGTCTAAACTCGCCATTTATGTCTGCTTTTCTGTGCTTCTCTGCAGGCCCCAATCCAAAACAGGGGGGGTTTCTCAGACAGTGTGCATGCTGCCCTCCAGCAAATCTGCCCCGTCACAATTATAATTATTGTCGCTATCGGCATGATTATCAGCAGGGGTCTCAGCATCACCAGCAGTAGGAAAACAATCCCTGTCCTGTTTGTCATTATGATCTTTTTTTTTAAAACAATGATTCATATAATGCTTTCACAGATGTCATTAATCACTATCAGATTGTTTCTGATTACTTCCTTCTACAGGAGTCCCCCCCAAAACAGGCAGCAACTTGAAGATGCTCCAACTGCCTCCCATGGATCTGTGCCTCAGTGTGTGGAGCCTCCTAAAAATGTGATGCATGAGGTCAGTGTGGACCGCCCCTTCCCTGCTGGTCCTAGACCTACCACAAGGGAGATCAAGAAGATCATCAATTTAACTGAGGAGTGTAGTAAGTCATATCCATGTCCCCAGTGTTGAGGAGGCTACTCTGAAATCAGAGCTTTGCAAGCTACCAATTACTTCACTCTGGAAAAAGTTGAACTACAGCAAAGTTACTCTACAGAGAATTCTAATTTGGTTAATTAAAGTAGTTCAGACTATTTTGTAAGAAAATAAATTAAATTTACAATGTATGTGTGATACAAAATCTAAAACAAAAAGATCACACACCAGCAAAACATGCCACTCAGTTATTACCTGAGACATGAACCTGTCCTAAATGAAACCATCTCACCTGGGCTTTTCACAAAGACAACACTGCAAGGAATGATAGAGTTTTGTTGTAAAAAACATCTGAAGTTTGTTTCATCTGACTACAACTAAACCAGTAAATCAAACATATTTAGCTTGCACCTGTTGTCACTGACTTGAGCACTGGTCTAAAAAAATCAGCTTGTTCTCTTGTCAGTTTTGTGCCATCTGACTTGTACAATGTTAACAACTAAAACAGTCTCGATTTGTACCTTTTTAGACAGTATGAACAGATTGAACACTGGCCTAAATACTGGCCCGGTCTCTTTACTTGTCAAAGCAGATTTTCTTGTTTATTCAGCACGAGTGTTGAATAAACACTCTCAGAGTTCTTCTGTATGGCAATGAAAATGTCCTGGCCAACGCTGGAGAGCTGCTCACATGTAGCATGATAAAATAAAAAAATGTATGGCTCAAAATAGTTTGTAATTTCAGTAGTTAAAAACACAAAATGGAAAAAGGTACAGTAAGTTAACTACTTGCTAACTACAGTTCAAATATGAATGTATTTGAAATAGAATAGAATTTATTGTCATTACAACGAAATTACCAGCATGCAACTGTAAAATGTTAACTACTAGTATATTACATGTACGTAGTTCACTACCCCGCAACACTGCATGTCCCTGCATAAACAAGTGCATGTAATAGTTTTGCATACACTTAAAGGAAATAATAGGTACTGTTAAGGACATTTCACTTACTTTCTGTTGACAGGGAAAGTTTTCATCACATATTCAGCAGATACCGCTGAAGATGTTTTTCATTTCACCAGTTTTCTGGCTCATCAGGGATTCAGACCAGCAGTAAGTCATGCCATGTCTTCATTGCCAATGTTAGTGACTATCCATACAAACATTCACACTTTGCCTGTGTTTTAACAGATTGACATGTTTGATAATCCAGTCCGAAGCATGGACATCATCAAATGGATGGACACATTTTTGAATGATGTAAATCTGACTATTAAATTTAACAAAAGAAATACTCCGTTTGCAGTGTGGCCTTCTGCAAAAGCTGACTGTGAGGTGATATTTTACAGAAATCAGTGCTCATCATTGTGGTTATCAGCCCCAAGTACAAGGAGGACGTGGAGGGAGCTGGAAATGATGAGCATGGCCTCCACACTAAGTACATTCACAATCGGGTAAGCCCTGAACAAACAGAGAGAGAGCAGTCATCAGTTATAGCGTGAATGATTGTTTGTAATTACACCATCTTGTGGTAAGATGGTGGCATTAAACTCCCTCCTCCCACATGCCAATAGAGGGGGGAATGAGGAAGAACGAGGATGTGCTTCATGCGTTAGTGAATCTCACGTTTTAAAGGCAATCCAGAGTATCAGTAGCTCACATTCAACTTATAGTAAAAATGAACACAGAGAAATGTTAACAGTTTAAACCACACAAACATAAGGGATTTTAGCCCAGATTAATCATTTAGAAAAATTTAAATAAGGTTTAAAGTACTGTGAACATTGATTATCCTCATTTCCACAGATCCAAAATGAGTTCATCCAGCAAGGCTGTCTGAACTTCAGGCTGATACCTGTACTGTTTCCTAATGCTACTAAGGTAAGTACAAAAAGTAAAGGAAAATAAGTGCACTTACTAGGTCTTAGAGCTTTCAGCTACATTTTACCATCCTCGTTCAGCCACCTTTTTTAAATCAAGATCACACAAAGTAACTACAAAAATATGTTTTTGTCTTTTAGGCAATTTTTATTTATTGGAGAACCAAAAAATATATTATGGCACGTTGCACAAATACGCAAAGGTTATGACAAACCAAATTAAAAGGAACAGGCAGGTGACAAAAAAAAAGTGTCTAGTGAGGGTTGAGATTTAGGATTAGGATTTAGGGTACAATCAGGTTTAGGTTAGGTTTAGGGTGAGGGATGAGTTTAGACATCTGAAGGGGTGAGGAATGCCAATGAGTGTCCACACAACTTTGGTTGTACCACACATGCACCACAGCCACCTTCTATAACACTAATAATAATTATAATAATGTCTGTAGTTTTATCCTCAGTGAATAAGGGAATATCATATTACTGACTGACTAGCTAATATGATAATATACTAATATGGTGGTGGTAGTTCCACTGGCACCTCACGGCACCTTGGGCAGCACCTACCATTTTTGTAGCCATTTATGCTTTACGGGGCTGGGTTGCAAGCCCAACTCCCAACCTGGCGGTTTCCCATGCAGGTACTGATCGAGCCCAGTCCTGCTCCGCTTCTGAAATCAGATGAGATGGGGCGTATCCAGAGCTCACCGGGGAGCAATATATTCATATAAATTATTATAGCTATCACCACTTTTGCTACACTTTTTTAAATCACATTCACCAAGGAGAGACCATCAGCCTGGTTCTCCAAAATAACAGTCTGGTGTGTTTGCCACTCAGGCCCCCAACAGCCAAAAGAGAAGGTCACTTGATGAGCAAGCAGGTGGGGAGAGATGGTGTAGACCATCTTCTTCCTGTCACTTCTGCTTGTATTTCTCTTTCCCATCTTCAAAGGTCCTAGAATGTTTGGAGCTGCAAAAATGAAAGTCCTTACCCAGTGAGAGTCAACACAAGCCCTTTCTCATCACACTTTGGATGAAACGAACCTTTAAGTTAAGCAATTCTTTGCATCGCCATCCCTCATTTCACTAATCAATGCAGTAGCCTAGGCAAGAGAGACTATGATAGGCCTTTTTCACACTGTCATGTGACCATAGAAAGACCACAGTCTGAAGTAATAAATGAATGCTGGCTGAATTCCCTGTAACTGCTTCTTATTCGCGGCCCTGGTATTGTTCATCCTGACTCAGTGTTACACGCTCGAGGCATACTGGGACACTTGAGTAGTACAGAGCCACGTCTGTGCTTTTCTGATGCAACATGTCTGTTGTGTCTAATACAGTTCTTAGTCTTTGATTCATACATTAGCAATGATGAAGGCTAATGGGGCACATAGTTGGTAAATGGCAGTGTTCATTAATCTGATGACCTGTTCAAATGATTTTGTTCATTATACTACTACAGTACTTACCCTTTGAGCTTGGAAATCCCCAGCATCATCTTTCAGTTTTTTTAGAGCGAGCAATGAAAGTTTTAAGTTAGGGAAATACTTTCAGAATGAGAAGTCAGTGGAGCATCACCACGACAATGCTTATATTCTAGAAAATAAAGTAACTAAATAAAGACAAAAGAAAAACAGGTTAAGAGTGTAGCAGCTGGAGTGACACTGAGCCTTTTTCAACAACATTGTGCTTTACAGATTTTATTGTCACAATTTTTACTTCCCCACCTGTCTTCGTATTTATGAGTGTCATTAACTAAGCATAGCCTTTTAAAACAACCCTCCATGATTTTGATGTAAATTTGCATGAAACATGCATTGTTATATGGTGACAATTTGAAGTAAGCTGTCTGTATCTGAATAAATGTTTACTGCAGCTCAAGGTTATCATCAGAGTAGCAGTACAGTAATTCTACCCTCTGTGTGTCTGTCACAGAGACATGTCCCCAGCTGGCTCCAGAGCACCATCATCTACCGCTGGCCCCGTGACCGCCAGAACCTGCTGCTGCGCCTGCTCAGGGAGGAGCGCTACATCATTCCTCAAGCGGGGTGTGGCCTGACCCTCACTATTCGCCCCCTCTCAGAAAAACTACAAAATGAGAGATGTGGAAAATAAGCAATCTGAAAGACAGGGTTTATCTTGTGTAGGCATGACTTTCCTTGATGACAGCGGTTATTACTGAATCAGATGTAGGTTTGTTCTGTTGATTCACACTTTATTTAAATAGTGCTGCTAATCTAACTGCATGCTATGAATACAATTCAATCTTCTTCCTTGATAATGGTATTTGAAATGAGAACAACACAGAACATTGTCATTAATAACACATTCTGTGCACTGTACTGCCTGGAGTATGCATAGCAATATAACAATTTAACAGTTTTTTGTAGTTATAGAGGAATTATGAACTGATACATACAAAAAGATGCTACAAATTGGTTTTTAAATGTGTTGTGATGGCTCTGATTGGGCAGTTGTAACATATAGTCAGGAGACGTACAAGCTTATTTTGAACATAAAAATATATCTGGCTAAATGCTCCACAATGTTCACAAGCTGTTCATCACTCACTTTGTCTGATGGCAGTTGGAAACATGAGCAATGAAATCAAGATCTGTTGGACAGAAACAACAAGCTAAAAAAGGTTAAAAAGCTTTGTACAAGCAAGTGCAACTGCAGAGTTGGATAATAATTTCCTGTGGGTTTATCAATGCAACCAACCTCTTTCACATTACAAATAGTTATTTTATGCAATGTTAATACAAGACTATTAATTAGTGCAACGTTGAAGAGAACCATCTTTAAATTAATGTAGTCGCAACATAGAAACTGAATGTTTTGTATTTAGTAATTTAGTTTTAAATTAACTTTTGAAAAAGCATTTTAAATAATCCATTCATCCATCCATTATTTATACCTCTTGTCCTAAAGAGGGTTGTGGGGGGCTTGAGCCAATCCCAGTTTGCATTGGGTGAGAGGCAGGGTACACCCTGGACAGGTGTGTCTAATCACAGGGCTGACACTTAGAGACAGACAACCACACATGACAGGAACACAGATAACTACAAACTACATGCGTTTGGGCTGTGGGAGGAAGCCAGACTACCCGGAGAAAACCCACGCAGGCACAGGGAGAACATGCAAACTCCACACAGAAAGGCCCTGGGTCAGCCAGGGGTAGAACCCAGAACCTCCTTTCTGTGAGGCAACAGCACTTAAGTAATACATAGTTGGCTAATTCAATTAATAGATTTATGACAGTGTATTTAAATGAATCAAGTTATTAAAATATTATAACAATAAAACACTGTAAAAGCCTGTAATTGTCCAGTGCCTTACTCCACAGTACAACATCAATGTATTTCTACATAAAGCATGTTTAACCAGAAGGTGGCAGCATGTTCCACTTTCAATCAGGGGTTACCTATTCAGGAAATAGTTTTCATTTTCATTTAACATTTGTTATTATATTTTGATATTACTTTGACTGGTTAGGAGACTAACATTGTGATGAAGGATTTGTAGATGAGCAACACGACGTCTGACAGCACAAACATCATGTCCACATGTGGCGCATTGACTCCTTGATAAGCCATCGTTGTGTGGGACCAGCTTTCACACAAATGTCATCATCTGTGCTGTCACTGTGCACAGACTAATTCAGCTTGTTTAGTAAACCTGACAAAAAAAAAAATACAATTTTTTTGTTCACATCAGTGCGTGGGAAGGGAACTCTTGTGCTGTCCAGGTTATGCAAACTCCACTGCATGAGGGTGAGTTCTGTAAACACAAGCCCTGCCAGTACCAATAAATCCACTGTTTGTTATTGCTCCAGGACTTGTATGTCACTCAACTCGGCCTTATCTGGTGAGTCCAAAGCTACATACCAGGCACAAATAGTTCCCCATAAAGGTCTGGATGTCTTGCTGCTTGTAAAATACACTCCCTGTACTGGTTCTTGTAATAAATCTTTTTCTATTTATCTGCAGTATAGCCATGACAACAAGCATCAGTCTTAATGAGGGGGCTTTTGGGGAATTTAAAGAAAAATGTAATTAATGTCTAATGAGGGGTAATTTTGTCCTCTTATTTCTTGTGCCACTCCCAAACAAATTTTATTTTAACATTTAACATCCAGGGTAGATTGACACAGGCAGTTGTGGGGGTTGAACCTGTCACTGCTTGACTCATAATGGATAATAAAAAAAGAAAAAGATGATTATTAAACCAGAGATATCATCAAATGTTATTCAGTGCATTCATCTTCCTTTTCAAAACCTGGTGCAACTAAACTGCCAACAGTTTAATTGCAGACTCACATGCATTATGCTACAAATATTTTTTTTGTTGTTGTTACAATTATCCCCAGCTTTGTAAACAGACTGATGATGGAAAGATAACGCTACTTTGGGATCTCTCTCATGTTTTATCGCTGCCTGCCACCAGTTTAAAATGACATGGGATTCACATGATAATGTCTGAATTTTCATTTTTCCATGTTATATTCCTTTAAGCAACACTTCTTTAAGGAGCCCACGGCCTGCTTTTCCTTGTTTTCTGACTTATCTACAATGTTACAATGTATGTACTAGTATTTCTATGTAGAAGCAACTCTGTTTATACACATCTCGCAAACTCTTGCTCTTGAGACTTTTTTCTAACAATGTAAAGTCTTAAGTGATATTTTAAGGATTTGCTTGAATGGTCATATTCTACAGGTAGTTGAAAAAGTGGGATTGTTTTCAACTGTGCGCAGTTTTGTGGCTATATTTTACCTTCCGCTGCTATGACCAGAGGATGTGTAGGAAAATACAGGGTCTGAGATTTCTGCATGTCCAGGAATGTTCCTGTACAGGGACTCACTGTTTTACCTGACCAGGTCTAACCTACAAGCAGCCGGCATGTATAGAAGTGTTGTAAGGCTGGAGAAGTTGCTGTGTCTGCATTATGCCAGTTAAAATATGGAGTCTCTCAATTACCTGCATTGTTTAGAGTGTTACACATCTCTTTTCATTGGTACATATACCATTGTTTACCTCTATAGAGGAGAAATTCAAATTAATTAATGCAGTTGTGGTTCGTCCTGCTGTCAGTTTTCATATTCTGGCTCGAACATGTGAGGCAGGATTTGAGGTATTGTCAAGTTGAAAATGTAGCTTATTTGTCAATGTTTTTTGTTTATACGTTGTCCTGGCTTCCTAACCGCTC